CATGGTGGAGGGTTCTCAGCGCTTGGGCCATCATTTGAAGCCTTCTCAGTCTCATTAGTGAGATGCTGGAGCAGAACTCCCAGGACTCAAACTGGCTTTCCTGAAGCAGACGTGATGTTGCAAGACGCAACTTGACCCACTGCTGAATAATAACTGTATCTGCCACAGCCGTGATGTTGGGCGACCATCACCACTATCTAATTCCGGAATATTTACTTTCCCACAAAGGAACCACGCACAGAATAGCACTCACTCCAAGCTCTGCCCTTCCACATCCTCAGGCAGCCATTTATCTGCTTTCTATCTCCTCACATTTGCATATTCAGGATGTTCCATCTAAATGAAAATGGGTTCTTTCACTTGGCATAAAGGTTTCAACGCTTATTCATTGCAAAATGTGGTGAAAATTAGGATTCTGTTTTCTATTCATTCATCTGTTGGTGTGGATTTGAATTAGTGAACATCCTGCACTAGGAACTGTATATATTATATATTTATGGGGAACAATGTGAGATTCTAATCTATGTTTATACTGTCAGGTGCTTAAAAATCAAGCTAATTAGATCTCGGAGGCCAGTGTTGTGGTATAGCGAATTAAGCCACAGCCAGCAAAATCAGCATCCATATGGGCACCATTCAAGCCCCAGTTGCTCCACTTCTGACCCATCTCCCTGCTGATGTGTTGTGGAAAGCACTGACAGCCCAGTGCTTGGACCCCTGCCACCCACAGGGTGATATGGATGGCATTTGATGTGGCCCAAGTTAGAAATATGCAATAGGTTACTATTTCTTATGGTTCACCTTTCTATGCAACAAATCACTAAAGCTTCTCTCTTCCAACAGAAATTTTGTATTTTTTGATTGTGAGTTTCCCTTTTCTTTCCTCTTCGCCTCCATTCACTCCTTCAGCCTAATTCTGTTGGACGTTTTTAGGTGCCACATAAGCGTGAGCTCAGGGGCTGCTTCAATGATGTATCTCACTAGCGCTCCTCTTGTGGGGCCAGCATCCCATAGAGGCACCAGTTTGTGTCCTGGCTGCTCCACCTCCAATCCAGCCCCTGCTAACGCCCCCTTTGAAAGCAGTCAAAGGATGGCTCATGTCCCTGGGCCCCTGCACTTACATAGGAGATCCAGAAGAAGCTCCTGACTCCTGGCTTCAGATTGGTTCAGCTCCAGCTGCTGTGACCTTTGAGGGAGTGAACCAGTAGATGAAAGATGTTTCTGTCTGTCCTTGTCTCTAACTCTGCCTTTCAAATAAAATAAGTAAGTCCTTTTTTTTTAAGATTTTATTTTTATTATTATTATTTTTTTTTTCATTGGAAAGGCGGATATACAGAGAGGAGTGACAGAGAGGAAGATCTTCCGTCTGATGATTCACTCCCCAAGTGAGCGCAACGGGCTGATACTATGCCGATCCAAAGCCAGGAGCCTCTTCCGGGTGCAGGGTCCAGTAAGTCCTTTTTAAAAAAAGTGACATCATGTGGTATTGGGACTTACTTTAGTTAGCATCCTGCATGTTCAACCATGTTGTCAGAAATTACAGAATTTATTGTGTTTTCAAAGGCTGAACAGTATTCCATTTTAAATAACACATCATCCATGTATCTGTTGATGGGCTCCTAGGTTGATTCCACATGTTGATTACTGTGAACAATGTTGCAATGCACATTGAAATGCAGTATCTGACAGACTGATTCCAGTCGCTCTGGATCTGTGCTAGAAGTGGGAACGCTGGTAGTTCTATATTAGAGGAGTCTCAGGATCCTCACACTGTTTCCAACAGTAGCTGTTATAAGTTTATATTTGCACCACCGTGTGCCAGGGACCCCTTGTGTCCACAGCTTCTCATGATGCCATTTTTACAGCAGCGGAGTGACACCTCATTACAGCTTTGATTTGCATCTCCCTGACGATCCCAATGACACATGTTCTGTTAGCTATTTACATACCTTCTCTTGACAAGTGTGAAGGTAAGTCCTTTGTCCGTTTTCTAATTGAGTTATTTCTTTCCTGCCCCTGAGTTGTTTGCATTTCTTCTCCTTGTACCTTGGGGGTATCAGCTCTTTGCCAGATTAAAAACTACGTATTTCAGTGCAAAAATACTTGAAATTCATGCATTTGAGCCTTTAAAAAGTTCATGAAAGGTCTATAATTAAAAAGGTATTCATTGATTTTTTTAATTGTGACAATAAATAAATCTATTATTTTTTCATAATTTTCTGAAGCATCCTTGTGGTTTGCAGATACTACCTCAAATTTATGCAACTCTTTCTTTCACTGAAAAGCTTTTAGTCTAATGTAACCCCAATTGCATACTTTCACTTCTGTTATTCTGCTTTTGGGCCTTATTTCAGGCATTTTCAGCCAGACCAATGTCCTGAGACAAGTCTGTATGTTTCTTTCTAGTAGCTTCACTGTTAGAGATCTTACATGCATGCCCTTGATTCTTTTGGAGCTGAGTGTGTGTATTGTGTCCAACAAGGGTCCAATTTAATTCTCCTGCATGTGGCTATCCAGCAGTTTCAGCACCATCCAATGAGGAAACTGCCCTGTTCCCATTCTGTCTCCTGACACTATTGCAAGTCAATTGTCGTAAATGCATGGCTTTGTTTCAGGGCTCTCTGTTGTGTGCCCATGGTCTGTTTTCAGGCCAGTGCCATGCTGTTTTGATGGTTAAAGCTTCTGTAATCCATTCCTAGGTCAGAAATAAACGAGAAAATATATGCCTGCCTTGATTTTGGTTTGGTCATTGAAATGTATATTGCTTTTGCTAGTTCAGATTTAGACCAGTTTCTTGTTTCATGCTGGGTGTACTACAGCAGACTTTCACATCCTCACTTCGCTCTCACACTTTGTTCTCACAAAGAACAAGCAGATAATGCATTATTGGGTATTACTTGGCATGTGCAGCTAAGGTGGTACACAGACCTCCTAACAAGCTGGAAGGCCACATAAATCACAGGTTGAAATGGGACTCATATGTCCAAATTTCAAACTGAAGGACATATTTGGCTTTCAAAAATGTCTTTTCTTTAGAATACCAACAACCAAATTTGTATAAAGTAACTCATGCATATACATATATTGTATAGCCTGTACCTTTTCTTCAACATAAATAACTTTCTATCTGAATAATATCACAGACAAAGGCCCTTACTTGCTTTTACCAAAGATGCAGAAAAGCCAAGAAGAAAACAAAAAACGTTTATTTTTCACCAGTACTTCCGGACTTCAGTTTCAGTGCTGCTATCTGCTGTGCTGTATCACAAACGAGTATCGTGATGGGTACCAATACTCACTGGTGATGAAGCAGCCGAGCCACTTGGGACAACCACATTCCTCACGAGTGCTTGTTTAAGTCCCAGTGTCCGGCTTCTGATACAGAGAGGGCAGTGAAACACGGCCCAGACACTCGGAGTTCTGCCGCCCGTGTGGGAGACCCGGATGGAGCTCTGGTTCCTGAGTTGGTGCAGCCCAGGCCTGGTTTCATCAGGCATCTGAGAAGTGAACCTGCATTTGGAAGATCTCTACCTTTCTCCTCTGTCACCTCCCTTTGAAATAAAGACATAACTCTCAAAATAAAAATGACATTAATCACTGCAAAAACATTGTCCGTACTCTATTCTCATTTAGCCACTTCAATGCATTATATGGATTGACTCTTATATAAGATGTTATCTGACTTGGCCCAATACATATTTGAAGCACTTGTAAGTTATTTATTATCTAAAATATTTGATCTGTGGTAATGCAACAAGATGGAAGAATCCACCATGGGGGGGGGGGGAGCGGGTTTTGGGGAGGGGAGGGGGGAATCCCAGTGCCTGTAAAACTGTGTCTCATGATGCAATGTAATAAAAAATAAATAAATAAATAAATAAAAATAAAATAAAATATTTATTCAGGTTTATTTATTTCAAAGAGCAACAAAAAGACACAGAGAAAAGAGATGGAGAGAGAGCAAGAGAACGTTCCACTCACTGATTCATTCCTCAACTGCCTGCAACAGCCAGTGCTGGCCCAAGAGGACCCCCACGCGCTTGGGTCACCACCTGCTGCCCCCAGGCACATTAGTAGGAGGTTGGATCAGTGAGCGGAAGCAGGACTCCACCCCAGGCACTGCGATATGGCACATGGCTGTTCTAGAGTCAGCTGAACCTGCTTGCACGACAACACAAGCCCTAGCAATTGCAGTTTATTAAGCATCATATCTCAACTGTGTTTTCTTAATCATTAAACTAACTCAATAGCACAGGTACTGTTAATGTCATTCCATGGGTTAAGGGAAAAATCAAGGCTCAAACCACACCAGTAACTTTTCAACAAGCACACACTGAAAAGTGATCTAACCTGGAACTGAACATATGGCTTAGCATTGTGATATAGTAGGTTAAGCTGCCAGCATCCCATATCCTGTCCTTGCTGCTCCACTGCTGATCCAACTCCCTAATGATGGCCTAGGAAAAGCAGCAAAAAATCAGCCTAAGTGCTTGGGTCCTGCTACCCCCATGGGAAACCCACGTGGAACTTCTGGTTCTTAATTTGTGCCTAGCTCAGCATTGGCCACTGCAGTCATCTAGGGAGTGAATCAGTGCGTGGAAGATACCGCTCTCTCGTACCTCTGCCTTTCAAGAAAATAAGTAAATCTTTAAAAATGAAAAAGAAGAAGAAAAAAAAAGGAATCTAAATCCAATGTGAAGAATTCATGCATTTCACCATGCCTCGCTGCTGCGCAAAAAAAGGGACCCAAGTAAAGGTGCTAGTACCTAGTGCCTCCCCAGCCAGGAGACAGGGCTGACAGCAGGCAGCCTCACTGCTCCCTGCAAACTAGCCTTGACCCCTCGGGAAAGGGGGATCTTCTGTTGGACACATTTATATAACAAGGACGCTTACCGCCCTTCATATGGGAGAAAGGAACAATAAACTTCGAAGCAGGATAGACATTTTGGGGAAAGAATTCAAACTGAACATGGCAACCATGGTCCAAAAGGCATTCGTACCTTTAGATATTTCACCAGCTTCTGGATTTGCCAATATTCCGACGGTGAATCCACATTGGCTTCCTGACGAAGGTCAGCCGGCTCCTCCTCTTCCTCACTCTCTGAGGAGCTCTCGCTAAGAATCTCCTCACTCTTATCAAGACTCTTCCTGCGAGGGACAAGAACAGGCACAAGGAGGACCCAATTACACTTGGGCGACCCGATTACACTTGGGCGACGTGTACGCAAGCAGCAGATAAGGCAGGGACACCTGCTGAGTGCTCGCAGATGATGGCGAGGACTGACAAGAGAGGTTGGCCACATCACGTGTCCTCTACCACCACTCTGACTGTGGCAATAATCATAATAAGAAACCAGAAACTGAACAGCCACAGGCTGTGCCGCACAGTAAGGCAACGATTGGTCCCCGTGTGTCCCTACAACCCCTCACTTAAATCAATGAATGTAGCTAAAACTGAGTAAAATTAAAACTCTTCTTTTCCAATCCCACTAGCCACACTGAAGTGCTCAGTTCAGATGCCGATCACCTCCTTCTACCACGGAAAGGTCAACTGGGCAGTGAGAGGGCTGAGAGCCCACTTCTTCATGACGCCTGCACCAAGTGCTGCCAAGGCACCAAACGTCAGAGCAGCTGCCCCAGCTTGGTATGGGGGCGCCTGACACAGCTGGGAGCCAACCTGTCCCCAGCAGCCCCTGCAGACAGTGGGCACTGTGTCTCAGGAGGCACACATACATGTCTGTCACATGGTAAAGTACCAATGAACCCTGTCCATTTCCTGTCTCTCCAGCAAGTAGCACACAGATGTACTTCTCCAAACGCTTGGTGTGAGAAAGATCTGAAGCATGCATGGATGAACAAATGATGGAATAACAAATAAACATATCCAGGCCAGGGTAAGAGTCTGAAAGGGAAACATTTCTAGTGCTGAATTCCAGGAAGTGGCAAGAGAAGTGGGGGTGACCGGGAAAAGGCAACAGTGAAGAGAACTGACACCTAGAAGCTGGGAGACCAGGGCTGAGGCTGGCATCAAGCACTTGGGAGTGTGGGCTGTCCCAGAGTGATGATGGAAAGAGGTGCAGCTGAACTGATGTCCAACTCCTTAAGGATTGTACTTTCACAATGGCCACCAGGAAGGGAAGAGGTATGCACTGTCATCTCAAAGGAAAGACGCCTCTTGTGACAAGGAGAGAGAAGTCTGGAGCCATGAGAGTACTGCCTCCCGTCCCTAGACCCTATGGTTAGGCAGGATTTGGGACAAGGAGAGCCAAAAGAGAACGGCTCCCTTCATGGGAGGAAGGAGAGGGTGGATGCACTTATAGACAGGACACATTTCAGGAAATGTACTTCCGGGTCATGTGAAGGAACCCAAGAAGGCTCGGAAGGAAGAGCATGATAGACGGTCTGCACAGATGGAGGCCTGACAGACAGGTCTGGGGACAAGAGTCCAGGTGAAGAATACTCATGCAGAACACTGTCCACGCGGGAGAGGAGCCCGGCTACTCTCCAGCCACCCCCGAGCCTTCTATAGACTCCTCCATGCCTCATCGAGCAAGATCAGACACAGTAAAGCAATCATTTTTTCCAAGGAAAACAGTTGCTGCTTGGGGCACTTCACATTCATACTAGCCCAGAGTTGTCTAAATTCTCTGAAGTCTGATTTGATATTCAAATATTTTACTTTAGACCAAATACCCACTTAGGAACAATGACATGGGTATGCTTTTTCCTATCCCTCCCACTACATCCTCAACACCATTGAAAATCCTAGGAATCCTAAATAAAACAAATGGAAGATGTCTCTGAAAGAAAATCTGAGGAGCAGCGCAGTGCTCCAATCCGTCCTAGCCCGGGTCCTGGAGAAGAGCACACTAAAGGCCCGTCCGTCCTTCCCCGCAATGGAAGACGCACACACTGATGGAGCATAATGGCCTTGAGAGAAGATGACCTTAACCACACAACGAAGAGTTGGACTTAGTGGGCCGAAAAGGAAAGCCAACTACAAGTTTTCTGCGACAAACTCAATTCAAATGCAATGCTATTTATATGGTTTGACATGACAAGGAAGGAAAAAGAGACACTAATACAAAGCACTACATAAAAGGTAGCAGAATTTGCTGTATTAATATCAGATTAAGCATATTTCATGGTAAAAAAAAAATTACCAGAAACATTACATAATGATAAAAGAGAGACACAGCAATCCTAAACATATATACACCAAACAACAGAGCTACAAAACACATAAAGGAAAACAGAACAAGAAAACAGAAAAATATGCAATCACAGCTGAAGGCTTTAACAGCTTACAGAATAAACAGAAAGAAAATAAACAAGGATGTAGGAGAAATCCCCACCAGCACTACACAATGTAATTCAGTCCACAAGCACTGAGCACTTCCACCAAAGAAAACAGAATAAACATTCTTTCCAAGCACCCCAAGAACCTGGTCCATGCAAACCACCAACAACTACAAAACAAATAGTTACACACTGAGCACAATTAAACGAGACTAAAAATCAGTAAGAGAAGGATAAAAGGAGGATCTCCAAACACTGAAAACTACCCAAATAATGTAAGAGTAAGAAGAGTATATCAAGGGAAAGTTTTTAAAAATACAAACTCAGTTGAATGAAAATCAAAACACAACGCATCAAAATGTGGACTTGTACTCAACCAACACAGCAAAATATCAGCTGAGTTCCAGCAGGACATGCTGACATCAGGAAAGGTCTATCAATAGAAATAAAGCAACTGGAAGCTAAAATTACAGAAGAGCAATATTAAGTGCAAGTCAAACTGAAGGAAGCAAATAAAGAAATCAATAAAATTGGAAACAGAAAAAAAAAAACCAATCTGAAAAATGAGTAAAACAAAAGCTGTTTCCATGTAAAAGATTAATAAAGAGGACAAGTGTCTAGCTATACTGATTATGCAAGTTAAGCAACAAAGATCAAATGAACCAATCCCTTTAAAGGCAGAAACCAACCCAGTTCTCTCAGGATGAAACAAGTAAATCTGGACTCTTCAACTATAAATGGCATCTAATTCACAACTTCAAAGCTCGAACTAGGGTCTTGAGGCCTCAATGACTTTGCTGGAGGAGTCTGCCTGACCTAGAAGAACTACTTCCAATTCCACACAATCTGTTCAGAAAGCAGAAAGTAAATGATTAAGCATATTGAACTTCTAATTATAGGGTCCAAAAGAGTAAAAATGTGCACAACGTTAGTTGAGTGTCTTTAAAGTTTTCTTCCCCCAAATGCTGAATATTTACGAAAATATGGGATTTATGCCATTTCCTCCCACCCCTACCCTGACACTCTCCTGCAGGTGGTGGCTGACCCTTCTCCAGCCACTACACTTCTGCCATCAAACTGAAAATCAGGTGTGAGGTGGCCAGGCGACCTCTGTGTCATTTTTGTGCTTGGATGAGAAGCATCGTTAAGTGTCCGGGGAGCAGACTGCCACAGGAGCTGTGAGGGGCAACATAACTGCAGGGATGGGCACACTCAGGACTCACGGCAGGCCCGATACTTGGTTCTCTCACTGAGTTGGCTCACCCCAGGAAAGCCCACACTGCAGGTCACTGGCATGCCACAAGAGCAGAGTCCAACACTCTCCCGTTGGCTCCCGGGCCTAGGAGCTGTCAGCATTCACCTGCCCTCAGAAGCCACTGGCCAAGACAAACTCACCGAGGCAGCTGTGCTCTTCCAGGGGTCAGAGAAGCCCTGGGCTTTTCAAGTCTTCCTCCATGTTTTTCCTCTTGGGTGTCTTTGACTGGGAGTTTGGGACTAAAAATTAAAAAATAAAAAAAAATGCACATTAGCTTCATGTTGATGAAGTGAGTGAGCAGGAAGTAGAAGGCACAAATGCACCCAAACACTCCTGCACCCCAGGGAGCTTCCTGACACCAGAAGGAGACGCTGCAGCCCCTCTTGCACCTGGAGGTGTCCCTCCAGCCTCTGCACCTGACAGTCGCAGCACTTGCTCCAAACCTCAGTGTCCTGGGAACCCAACATTGCCACCATCAGACCCACTCAGCGCTACAAGGGTCACAAGAAGGGGAGGGGCTCCACTTTCCAGAAGAGTCCTTCCCTCCAGCTCTCTGGGCTTGCTTCCAGAATATTGTGCAGGCGTGGATCCTTGTGTGTCCCCGCAGGAACCATGGTACTGACAGAGCCTTAAGTGTTGTCTGCTACAGGTAAGAGCATGCTCTGGGTGTCCTGGGTGCCCTGGGCTTTGCAGGCTGGAGTGAGGTCAGATCTTGACTTTGTCAGCAGTTACAGAGGATCCCAGATGGGGCCAATTTTATTGCCTATATATGCCAAATCAGTGTTTACTAACACAGGCCTATTAATACTTCTGAGACTGCAGCATTTTTACAGTTGAGGAGGGATGCTTCCAAGAATCTAAGGAAATGGGAATTCAAACATAAGCTTATTTTCACATTAAGAGATGTTGGTATTCACCTGCAATTTTTCATATTTCACATATCCCATGAATGTCTTCAAGATTCCTCTTACGCATGGGTTTTAAATTTTTTTGGCACAGTGAATTTATCTTTAAATCCAGTGTTCATGGACTTTGTAAAATGCCCCTGTATTCAGGTTATATCAGCAGGGAAAGTACCATCAGTATAAAGGTAACTCTATATTAAGGAGTTTTAAAAAAAGATTTATTTATTTATTTGTATTTGAAAGGAAGAATTAGAGTGTGTGTGAGAGACAGAGAGAGAGAGAATCTTCCATCTGCTGATTCACCCCCCAAATGGCCAGAGTGGTTAGATCTGGGCTGATCCAAAGCCAGCAGTCAGGAGCTTCTGAGTTTCCCACGCAGGTTCCGGGTCTCAGAGACTTGGATCAGAAGCAGCAGCCAGATGTAAACTAGCATCCATATGGGATCCGGCACTGCAGACAGGATTAACATGACATGCCACCATACCGCCCCACTCCACGTAAGTTAGGACATTCAAGATTCTTTAGAGCATTGGACCTGGCACGATGGCGCAGTGGTTAAGGTCCTCGCCTTGCACGCACCGGGATCCCATATGGGCACTGGTTCTAGTCCCCGGCAGCTCCACTTCCCATCTAGCTCCCTGCTTGTGGCCCAGGAAAGCAGTCGAGGACGGCCCAAAGCTTTGGGACCCTGCACCCATGTGGGAGACCTGGAAGAAGTTCCTGGATCCTGGCTTCGGACCGGCATAGCATCGGCCGTTGCGGTCACTTGGGGAGTGAATCATTGGACAGAAGATCTTCCTCTCTGTCTCTCCTCTCTGTATATCTGCCTTTCCAATAAAAATAAAATAAATATTTTTTTAAAAAAAAAGATTCTTTAGAGCATTTACTGAATCCAGTTCATACCCTATGAGATGTTGATATTTCCCATGAGGTTTCTCCATATGTTGCATTATGTTTTTTGCACATTATTTATCCTGACTCACCAAATATAGCAAACAGAATCCTAACTTCCCTTTCCCTTCACAGTGCTCCGAACACGAACCCTAGTGCTGTCTGATCCTGTTGCCCTGGGGAGAGGAGTTCGGCATGGTGATTGATATACCCACATTCTATACTGGAACCCCTGAGTTCAAGCACCAGCTCCACTTCTGATTCTAGCTTTTGTTGATGCACCCCTTGGGAGGCAGCAGTGATGGCCCAAGATGATGGGCCCAGGATTGGCACTGCCATCTGTGGTGCCGGCATCCCATACGGTTGCCACTTTATGTCCTGCCTGCTCCACTTGTGGTCCAGCTTCCTGTTAATATACCTGGAAAAAGCAGTGGAAGATGGCCCAAGTGACTGGACCTCTGCTGCCCACGTGGGAAGACCGGGAAGAAACTCGTTGCTTTTGGCTTTTGCCTGGCCCAACCCCAGACTCCAGTCATTGCTGCCATGGGTCGGGGGCAGAGGGAGAAGGGTGGAGCAGATGAAAATCTCTATCTATCTCTCATGATCATGCCATAATGCTTTCGAATAAATCTAAAAAAAAAAAAAAAACCAACAAAGTAGCTGGGTCACTGCCACTTGTGTGAGAGACCCTGAATGATTTTCTGGCTTCTAGCTTCCAGCTTTAACCCGGCCCAGCTTCACACATAACCCTAATGTTCTCAGTATTTGGAACGTGAAGTGGTGAATGGGCTCACACGTTCTCTCTCTCTCTCTCTCTCTCTCTCTGCCTTTGAGATAGGAAATAATTTTTAAAAAAATCCTTTGCTGGGAATACAGAGAATAGCATCAGGAGTCAGTTTGTACCAGCTAGGATGTTTAAGCGTGACTCCATATGTTTCCATTATGAAATGGACATAGATTAAAAAAATTTAGGCCCATACACAGTGTCTAAAATGTCAGAAAACCCAGCAGTCGTCAACATACACTTTGACATCAACAGTGGCCCTCCAGTTTAAAGTCGGCTGCAATCTCTTGGTCATTTGATTCTTCCCAAAGTTACTCTGGCTCTTCGGCGTGGTCTGCTCTGGGCCAGCTGCAGCGTCTCCCTGTTTGGGTGCCTCAACAAGTTGAGCCTTTTCTTTTGGTTGCTCTTCCATGAGTTTAACCACCTTTGTACAGGCAAAATTCCAAGCGCTTTCTGCAGCAGCGTCCTTGAGTTATTCTGTGGTGTTTCCTGAAGCTGAAGCCTGGGGAAGAAAGCAGGAGAGACAGCATGATGCCAACTCATTCTGATGAACAACAAAGCTGGCACAAGGCCACTTCAACGTCGGTGGGCTCAGGCAGAGTGTGACAAGATGACACCTCTGCCTCAGCACACCCGGAACAACAGTGCGGCTTGGGCCCACACACCTCTCATGACCTGAGACACGTCACATCAAGTGCACAGAGCGAAGCCCAAGGGAGTACCTCGCAGGTATCCAACAGACACAGCACTCATGGAGAAGGAGGCATGAGGCATTTTTGGTTTTTTGTGTTTTTTTGTTTGTTTGTTTTTCTTTGTTTTTTCCCTTGGAGAAAAGTTTTTAATAGCAACATTCTCAGAATACACCTTAAAGCATATGGAATTGTTCAATACACGTTACAAAATCCTTAATTGTAGAAATAACTATCAAAAGAATCCCACTTTCTGGTGTAAACATGAACCATTTTCTGTTACATCAAAATCAACATTAACCCGTATTCTATACAGAGAAATGAGATTGAAAAAAGTATAAAAGTTACCTGGAAAATATTAACAGTGACCTCAGATGGTACCTTTCTGTATTTTATTATGTTTTTGGGGTCACGTGATTTATCCTCTGCTTACAACATGATCCATATCTTATGAGAAATGATGCAAACCAGGAAAAAAAAAAAGATAGCAATGTCTTTAAAGAACTGCAAAGAAAACAAAGACCTGTCCAACTTCTCTACTGAGAACTGTAAAGATACACACAGCATTCGACAGCGAAGGCAAGATACAGACACCCACACACAAAAACAGCGTCCTCTGCCCACAATCCTAGAGACTGTGCAATGTGCTTCTTCAGCCGTCAGAACCATCAGGCCAGAAACACGGACCTAGCTGCACGCAGAGACTCAGGCTACAGGAATGCTAATAATAAAAATCACAAAACATACTGAAGATTTGTGTATTATTTAGAATTATTTAAAAACATAACAAAATCTAAACCCAAAACAGCTACATTTTGATGATGTCATAGACACTAGATTGAATATTTCTGAAGGCAAACATTTTAAATTAGAGATGTCCACAGGGAGGCCAGGACCGAGTCCCTGACTGCCGGCTTGCTCCTGGCTACTGTAGGCTTGTGAAAAGTGAACAAGTGATGGAAGAGCTCTCTCATTCTCACTTTACCTCTCATCCTTCTACCCTTCAAATAAACAAAACAGAAAAATAAACATATTTTAAAATAAATACAATGCTGGATAAAAAAATGTTCATGCAATGAATAAAATGAAGCAGGAGAGGCTATGGCAAAGTCCAACAGACTCAAACAAGTAACAGCAGAGATAAAGAGGAGCATGCGTGATGACTGAGAGTCAAGAAGCACGTGATTCTAAATACACAGTCACCGACTAGAACTTCACAATGCTTGAGGCAAAGACAGGACTAGGGGGGTACCACACAAATCCACCACAAGGAGACTTCACACAGTCCTCTGGGTGACACAGCCAACGAGCAGACACTCAGCCAGACACATCAGCAGCCAGGACCAGGTGACCCGATGCACGTTCAGCCAAGTCCACTGAGGGACACTGCAGGAAAACACACTCTTCCTGAGTTCCCAAAGGAGATTGTACCTTCAGCCATAAGTGAACATCAGAGCCCTGAATGGAACTTAAATCATCTGAGAACCATTTCTCAGGGTTGGCACAGTGGTATAGCACAGTAATCCTCTGCCTGAGGCACCAGCATCCCATGTGGGCACCATACAGGTTCATGTCCCAGCTGCTCCACTTCCGATTCAGCTCCCTGATACTGGCGTGGGAAAGCAGCAAGGAGTTGGGGGGGGGGGGGGACTAGTCCTTGGGCCCTGCAATTACTAGCGGAAATGGAAGCAGCTCTCAGCTGCAGCTTCAGATTGGTCCAGCTCTGGCTATTGCAACCATCGAAAGAAACGATAAATGGAAGGCCTCTCTCTATATATATAGTTCTTCCAAGTAAAATAAATCTCTAAAAATGCACCATTTCTCTTAATTAAGTTAGAATTCACTTAATAAAGATCTGGAAAATCATAAAATACCCTGCCATGAATAAATAAATCACATATCAAAATCTATGTGACAGAGTTTATGCAGCATTTATCAAATGTAAAGAAAAAAAAACTTTATAGCAAAAAAGTAATTATTGATTTAAACTTCTAACATAAGAAATTAAATTAAAAAGGCAAAGGGAAGCCCCAGTGCAATAGCCTAGTGGCTAAAGTCCTTGTCTTGCACATGTCAGAATCCTATATGGGCACCGGTTCTAATCCTGGCAGCTCCACTTCCCATCCAGCTCTCTGCTTGTGGTCTGGGAAAGCAGCTGAGAACAGTCCAAAGCCTTGGGACCCTGCACCCCTGTGGGAGACCTGGAAGAGCTTCTGGCTCCTGGCTTCGGATTGGCTCAGCTCCAGCCATTGTGGCCACTTGGGGAGTGAATCACCCGACAGAGGATCTTCCTCTCTGTCTCTCCTCCTCTCTGTACATCTGACTTTCCAATAAAAAAGGAAAAAAAGGCAGAGGGAAATAATAAAAGCTGAAATCAAATAAAAAGAAGGCAAATAATAAACAAACTCTATGAAATAAATACTTAATTCCTGGATAAAATATCAATAAAATTACTACACCTCCATCCAGATTAATCATGGAAAGCAGGAGAGGAGACACAAAAAACAAACATTAGGAATGAAATTGGAGTCTACAGATAGGAAAGTATAGTGTGGAATCTTATGTCTGATGCTAATAAATTAATTAGAAAACCAGTACACATTCATTGGAACACACGAACTGCCAAAACTCCCTAAACAACAGAAAAGGGAGAAGTTCACGTACCATGGCATGTGAAAGGCAAGGATTCAGGCACTGGGCCACGGCACCGGGCCCCTCTTTAAACATCTTATTGCTATTTCACCCTTTTCCCCAAAGGAAGCATTTTATGGCTTTTCTAGGACACACCCAAGTTGCCAGATCATCCTTCTTGTGCTCCAGGCCCACAGTGGCACAAAATGAGGGTCCCTTGAACACAAGCACCGTGATTCACATGGGCCATCTGGTAACGGAGATGGCTCCTAAGCGCGACACTTGTGGGTAGTGGCCACAGCAAGGACGTGCTAGGCCACAGAATGATTCATGTCCTGGCACGATGGAGACACAAGGTGTGAGATTTCATCACGTTACTCAGAATGGCATGCAATTTAAAATGCATGAATTACTTATTTCTGGAACATTCTGTTTTGTATATTTGGACCGCCACTGATCATGGGTAACTGAAACCACAGATAAGAGGGAACTACTATAAGACCTCAGTGAATGGAAAGCCATACTATGTTCCTGGATTAGAAAACTCAGTATCCGAAGAAGTTGATTTCTCCGAATTCATCTTACAGATTCAAACATCAGATTCAAACATCAGTCATAATTCTTCAGGATTTTCCCCCTTTTGGAAGCAACTGACAAGGCTGACCCTAGCAATCCTTTAAACATATAAGAGGCTTAAAATAGCCAAAGTTTAAAACACAATATTGGCAAACTCCTACAGCAATCAAGCCAGTTGTAGTAATGGTAGAAAAACAAGTATGGGCCCCGGTGTGGTAGCCTAGTGGCTAAAGTCCTCGCCTTAAATGTGCCAGGATCTCATATGGGCGCCGGTTCTAATTCCGGCAGCCCCACTTCCCCTCCAGCTCCCTGCTTGTGGCCTGGGAAAGCAGGGCCTTGGCACCTGCACCCACATGGGAGACCCAGAAGAGGCCCTGGGCTCCTGGCTTTGGATAGGCTCTGCCTTGGCCATTGTGGCCACTTGGGGAGTGAAGCAACAGATGGAAGATACTTCTCTCTGTATCTCCTGCTCTCTGTAATCTGCCTTTCCAATAAGAAAAACACAATAATTCTTAAAAATATATATGTAAGATCAAAGGTACAGAATGGAGTATACAGATGTAAATTCTTACACATATCTAAATCTGATTTCTGATAAAGATATAAAGATAATTCATTGGAAAAAATGATAGTTTTGCTTTTTTTTTTGATAAATAGTGTTGTTAACAACCAGATATCTATTTGCAAAACAATATGAATTTTGATCCATATCATATACGCACAGATAAAACTAAAGATATTAAAGGCCTAAATGTAGAACATAAAATTTAAAAATTCCAAGAAGAAAATAAAAGATTCGTCTTTGTGACAATGGGTTTGCCAAGAACTTTTATTAGATCAACACTACCAAAAAAAAAACAAACAAACACATTTCACTTCATGAAATTGGCAGACAATGGAGCATGAAAACGCAAGACTTGAACTAGAAACAAGAAACAAGTATTTATCAGTTATACACCTGACAGACCATACATGCCAGCAACATACATAAGCTCTTGCAACTCAAGAATAAAAATTAAACAACCAAATTTAAAAACTGCAAAAAATCCAAATAATGATTAAGATACACAGGCAGTAAGTGAGCGTAAGAATGAACGCTGTCAAGAAATGCAAAGTAAGGGCATGCCTTTGGCACAGAGTTTATGTGTCTGCTCAAGTCACCGACATCCTTCCAAGCCTGCATCCGGTTAACCTGCAGATGGGAAGCAGCAGGAGGTGAATGGCTCCAGGAGTGGGCCTGAGCCAGCTGCGTGACAGGTCCGGAGCCACACGGCTCCAGAAGTGGGCCTGCACTGGCAGTGTGACAGGCCCAGAGCTGCAAGACTCCAGGAGTGGGCCTGAGCCAGCTGCGTGACAGGTCTGGAGCCATACGGCTCCAGGAGAGAGCCTGAGCCAGCTGCGTGACAGGTCCGGAGCCATACGGCTCCAGGAGAGAGCCTGAGCCAGCTGTGTGACAGGTCCGGAGCCACACGGCTCCAGGAGAGAGCCTGAGCCAGCTGCGTGACAGGTCTGGAGC